GTGCTGTTCGTATCGTACCCTGCCGTACTGTACCTTACCGTCCCATATTGTAACCAACTGTACCGTACCGTACACTACCGTCCCGTCCCGCACCGTACCGTACTGTTCATATCGTACCCTGCCGTACTGTTCCGTACCGTCCCATATAGTAACCAACTGTACCGTGTTGTCCCTTACCGTACATTACCATACCGTCCGGTCACGTCACCTTCTTGACGAGTGTGATGCAGCTCAAGTAACGGCCTCCGTCACATCGTTCGCTCTCGCCCGGAGATAGATATGTGCACGGAGACTGACGTGGAAGCAGTTTGAAACAGGTGGTATTCGTGAGTGGTCGCAGCGTATAGGATGACGGAATGGCGTGCATGTCTTTGTTTTGCGCAGGTGAACGACCGAACTGAAATTCAGATTCGGTGTAATGTATTCACAGATATCTGAGGCAATATGAGTGACGTTGAGTCGTGCGTGGGTTAGCTTCTCGTCTTCGTTAGCCTAGCGGTGACCGCTCGTGACCTTTCGGCTAGCTCGGTGACCCGTGATGAGTGGCTAAGGTCAGACGCGTGGTGTTACGACCAACGGGAGCTGTATCTCACCCTCGCCGTGCGTCTAAAACGGCGCGCCTGACTACATCACCTCATCTTAGGAGTCACGTCAGAGCGCGTGAACCCCGCTGCTTTTTACAAATGGAACGTGACCGCGGTTACAGCGTTATCCGGAGATCGGGCGGCCGGCGCGGTGAAAAGAACACGCGTTTTTACGGTTTCCCGTGCCATTTGACAAACACAGGCGATGTCGAGGGAGTGAAGGGCGGTGTCTGAATATCTGCTCCCCTGATTACCTCCAGTCTTTGATAGGGAGTCCGATATTCAGGAGTTTTATAACTGAGAGTATTTTTGTGTCTTGCGTGGCGGTGACGCCCGTCAAGGTATTCAGGGTCGCACGTGCTGGTCTGTTGTGTTGCTCGTTTTTATTGATGAGTTGCAACGTAGGAGGGTCTGATTTTCCTCTTGATGTCTTGCTTACAAATGTCATCGGCTGCAAATGTGTCGTGAGACGTTTTAACTATGCTGCACAATTTTTTTTTAAACATTATACCGGTGAGTTCGTAATAAATTAGCGTTGTGCAGCAATTTTATCTCCTAGTTCCAGTGTACTATGTTATCGGAGATGTTTCACAATCATGTGGTTTCTATCTTTCATGACTGTCTCGGACCCGTTTGCTCGCTTTGTTTTCGTTGAAAGTTGTTGCCTACATCTCTAATTAAAATCGTGCCTTTGCATTCCCGACTGTTTCCTCTGACCCCAGTTTAACCTCCTACCCTGTCTTCTCCCCGGCAGACCTGGCGGAGGACGCTGCCGATGACGAGGTGTTGCTCCTGTCAGCGGCCGCTCTAGCCAACCTGACTTTCATCGAGCGGCAGGTGTTCCCGCAGCTCACGGCTCGCTGCACGGCTCAGAAGCTGATCACCGCCGCCGACAGATTCCCAGATAATGTCTTCATTTTGGATCAGGTGCGTCAAGATAGGCGGGGCTAAGAGGGGTGGATTGATGGTGACAGCGAGTTTTGGAAGGCTTATATGACCGACCGGAGACCGGCCATTGGTATGGTTAAGTGAGCGACGGATTATATGACTGCTTCCTCGAACGTATGACTGGCAACTGTAAAGCTTGAACGATTTTGTAATTTGTGAAGATGGACACCCTGAATGGGTCATGTAGAGATTCCGACAGTCGCTATGGCATAGCTAACTGTCTATTCGGACCGTCAATCTGGTGGTTTGCCCGTTCAGTGACCGTCGCCAATGCGGTTGTCACTAACAGTGTTGTGCCGACTGAGGCTGACCGGTCGTCGGTCAAATAACGGTCAACGACCAAGTGCTCTAAGAAGGGGGATCACAGTCAATCTACCAGGGAATCCGCGAGCCGGACCTTCTGAGTTATTGTGAGGCGCTCGTTCCGTCTTTTTCACAAGTGAACCTCGCTGGAGCGATCGGGTTCGACGGTTTACGATATCTCGTGCATCAGACACGCGACTTCGACGGCTAGCCGGTCTTGGTGCAGTAAAAATAACAGCTACAATTTACAACTCAGTTGGCGGCAGTTTTGCGTGTCATAATGACGACCGTAAAAGTTGTCCCGTCGTTTATTGTCATGATTTACGAACAGCGCGGTACAAGAAGAAAACATCGAGTTGATTTCGGAATTATTAAGTGCATCAGGAACTTTTAGTGATCCCGAAGTCGTTTCGCTATCTCTAACATCTTTTTTCACTGTTACCTTATCGTACTAGTTGAACATACATCAGACAGCGCGCGTTGCATGCTCATATGGTCGCTCGTTTTACCTCATTTTTGACTCACTCATTACCATCCATCACTCGTTGACACTCGTCTTTCCCTGTGCCCCAGGTGTGCACGGTGCTAGCCAACGCAGCCAGCGTCGGGGACTCCTGCCTGGGCCGGCTGGCGGTTCCGGCTCTGATCCGCTACCTGCACGTGGCGCCCACTGCGCGGTGGGCGGACGGCGCCCGCGCCGCCTGCCGCCGCCTCCAGCAGAAGACAGCCGTGGCTTTGACGCGGTTCTGCGTGGACCGGCGCACGGCCTGCCACCTGGTGTCGAGCGGCGGAACTGCGCGGCTGGAGCTGCTCTGCCGTCAGCCCGAGCTACGGGGACGGGATGACGGTGTGCTGGTGGCCTGTCTGGTTAGTGGGTGGGGGACTCTCGGTCAGGAATGCTAAGGTGAAACGCCAAGCTATTGTTAACGCCAGACCCCTTGAGACCCTAATTTTTCGCGATTACTTTTAAATGCGTGAAGGAATTTCAACCAAGCTCAGGACATGGCCGTTTCAAGACAGGCCGAAACTTTTACAATTTAGATATTTTATCGCCATTTCAATATTTCAGGCACTTGTCATTGACTCGTAATGTTAACTGTTTTTCCATCCTGGATAGAGGCTTTCTACGTCATATGACATTAGGCTCCGCCCACGACTGCGGCATTGACCCGTGCCCATCAGCGACCTCTGTACAAACGACACCCCTGCCATCTGTGAAGGACTATGAATTTCGCTGACGCTTCACGTGCTATGAGTCAATTGCAGCAGACGGTCAAGTAAATGTTAGGCTCTTGTTGACTCTTGTATATAGGACCAAGAGGACCATCACTCCTCAACCTACTACTCAGTCGTGCTTCGAACAAACGTTAACGATTCCTAACAAATACGATTTTCGATGTAGGGTATCTGTTTGAAATACGAGCGAGCCGTATGATGTGAAGCTCAGGCAATTAACTATTATTGCGTTGTTCGATGGTTGCATAGCGATGTACAAATCGGTAGCTACTTGGTGACATCCGACATCCCATTATCGCATTATCTGCAACGCCATAAATACAGGTGAATATTTCCTAACCTTATGTCAGTTATATGCCATCTGCCCGTCATATGCAGCTTATATATATAAAAAAAAAATATCAGCGAACATATCAGCATTGTAGAAGCAATGCGCATTGAGCATTTATGACTCCTTAGTCATCATGTCGCTCTCTGGGCACTGTCAGCCAAGACGCTACGCACAACTCCGCCGGCTTTCGGCACCGCTCGACCGTCGCCCGTCCCCGCTCCCCGCCACAGCGAGAGTGACCGCGCGCCGGCCCGAAACCGCCGCAGGCCAAGACCACAGAGGCGGGGCTTAGCTGTGACGTCATAACGTATCACAGACTGACTGGTGATAGCCTCTACACACCGGATGAAAATCTGGCTCGAAATTTAACATTACGAGTCAATGGCAAGTGCCTGAAATATTGAAATGGCGATAAAATATCTAAATTGTAAAAGTTTCGGCCTGTCTTGAAACGGCCATGTCCTGAGGTTGATTTAAATTCCTTCACGCATTTAAAAGTAATCGCGAAAAATTAGGGTCTCAAGGGGTCTGGCGTTAACAGTAGGATAAGCTAGGCTGCTAAGGTGGAACGGTACAAAACGACGACAAAAGAAAAACGACTGCAATGTAACGAACTTTTATATGTAGACCCTCGTTCAGACTTTTGATGCCTTTCACGATCTTCGAATGACAGATTCAATATCAGATTTTTTTAGTAGCTCGAGGACCCAGTTGCCGTACTGCAGTCCAGGAATGTATATGCCGCCTGTAGCTATCGATAACCTTCATCGAAATCGAGTGTGCTATTGTTTGTAGCCAGACAGGTATCGAAGGACAGGAACAGTGGGGAAAAACTCCGACCGAATGTGGCCAAACCGTTACTGATGCGCGACTGGCAACACGTCTAACCGTGTCACAGTCATCAATATCTATGTGTACCACTTTTAAAATTGCCCGACCAATGCTCACTACCCATCGCGATCTCTCGGCCAACAACACCGCATATCTTGTCCTCTGACCCTCAGACGGCGCTGAGGCGGATCCTGAGCTTCTGCCCGGAGCAGACGCAGCAGCAGACGGGCGAGCTGGTGCAGCCCAAGTTGATGGACGTCTTCCTCCAACTGTCCTCCGGAGAGAGCGAGTACGTGCTCGATCACCCGGACCGCCTCGGGTGTTCGTGAACATAGGTATTTGAGTATGCGACAGTTATCGGCGGTTATCGGTTACCAAGGTTAGCAGTTCAAATGTGTAAAGTTCTTTTTTACGTCTGCAGCCCTCTCTATCGAATCCCAAGAACTTTCCTAACAATGCAATTATTTTTGATTTTTGTCCATAAGAAGATGCCCTTTTATCAGGCCCCGACGTCCCGCCCCCTCTTCCCGCTCCCGCCATGACATACGCTGACGAGCTGTTCCGATTTCAGCGACGAGCGACGGAGGTGACTGAAGCTGTTCGCCACCACGGAACAATAGAAACACCTTCAGTCCGGCATCAGAAGCCAACCGACGCCATCGCCAACCACTTGTCATTGTGATCTGAATGTGTGTGATTTTACCTTGAACGCAAAGATATGGAACATGACGTAGCCTTTCTGTGAGCCATGCGCAAACGACGTGTCGTATCTTTGCAAGCCGTTTATAACAAAGGCACAATTGGTTCACACTTAGACATCCGGCACCATGAAGGCGCTAACACGGGCGGCGGGCACACCGGAGAACGCCGAGTCACACTCGGAAAACGCCTCTTCCGCTGTGGCCGGCCTCTCCATTCTTTGGTGGGCCAGCGGAGCCGTCAGAAGCATCACCTCAAAGACAAACTACTACTCTATGCGGACGGGTGTAGGTCCCAAGCGGACAGACATTTGTTCACATGCGAAGAGGGACACATTTCTTGCACTGCTCACGACTTGCTGCGTCGATCGCTAAGCGTTCTGCACGGCAGAGCAAACGAGACTACCTATCGAAGATCTTCATGGGAGAGAGGGACGAAGAGTCAGGTGGGCGAATGTCCGGGTCGTGGTCGGTTGGTGACTTAGACTCGTTACGATCCGCACATGAGGCAGTCGTCCTTGTTCTGGAGGGAGCAGACCATGGCAGCCATGTTGTATGCCTCTTCCTCGGTCTTCTCCGGGGACTCAGTCTGAAATAGAGGACAGGCGAGTTTGTTAGCGGTAAGCGGGAGAGATGACCTGCAGTTGCAGACGAAGTTTACACTCGATTTGAGCCGGGAAATCTGCGGTGTGCCGCATAAGTAGCAATATTATCCTTATTGGTGCCTTGCAAGAGCTGCTTACTTTCAGTGTTGTGCTTTTAGCTTTTAACCACCCGTTACGGCAAACAACAGGAGTTCGTTCAGTTTAGCATGCGTGGCTAAATGAATTCCAATCCCGTTTACATTAAAATTAAAAAAGGGCCAAACCAGAAAAGCTCCCCTACCTTTTCCTCCTTTTCGTCCTGCGGTTGGGGCGCGGCCGTGCTCTTTGCCAGCCGGGTCTTGTCGACGGTGAACTGGATGGCCGAGGCGGCCGCCTTCGTCCTCAGGTAGTACATGCCCGTCTTCAAACCCAGCTTCCACGCGTAAAAGTGCATAGAGGTCAGCTTGCCGAAGTTGGGACTGGCGATGTGCACGTTCAGGCTCTGCGACTGGTCGATGAAGGCGCCGCGGTCGGCAGCCATCTTCAGCACCACCTTCTGCGATACCTCCCACACCGTCTTGTACAGGTCCTTCAGGTCCTGAGGGATGCCCTCGATGCCCTGTCGAGCAGGACGCATGTCACGGTTATAGTTTGATAAAGGACCAGCCTCGTGAGTTATCAATGCTTAGCTGAGCAGTTGGTCTTTCAATAAACACCCTACTGAACGTAATATTGCAGTAGTTTGCTTCCCTTAAAGCCAAGATTTTTCGGACATGCGGAATCGCTTTTACGAAAATAAAGAATGTTTGTTCCCGCGGTGTTAAAAAATGAGCATATGATATTGATAAGAACAACGTTTTGCTTTTTAAAGATTTTTAAGTGCTGTCAGTGTAAATTTCAGTGGCGAGAGTATGGTCTTACCTGGATGGATCCACCGGATGAGATCATCTGGTTCTTCATGTCCTCGTCCCAGAGGTTCATCTCGGTTAGGTCCCGCATCAGGTGGTGGTTCACGATCTGAGGGATACGGTGTGGTATAATTATTGCATGGAAATAACAGCCAGTTGGACACGTGAATGCTGTGGTAAGACCGACAACGTTGTGATTCAGTCGAATGTATGAGCATTGAGCACATCAGTCATTTCATATTAGTTATTACCCACGAACGATTCATTTACTGCACACTAAACCCTGATTGATATTCCCTATCCAACAAGTCCGACTAAGCCCCTCGCTGCAGAGCGGACGTCAGCGTCACCCACCTGGAACTCTCCGGAGAGCACGCGGCGCGTGTAGATGTTGCTCGTGTACGCCTCGATCGACTCGTTGTTGCCCAGAATCTGCGCGGTGGAGGCGGTCGGCATGGGGGCCAACAGCAGCGAGTTGCGCACGCCGTGCTGGGCGATGCGCGCCTTCAGTGCCGACCAATCCCAGAGCGATGAGGGCGTCACGCCCCACATGTCGTACTGAAGGATCTGCGAGACGGAGAGACACGCAGAGTTAGTGATGAAAGGGCGACAGCGGCACCAAACAATGATGGGGAGTAGGGAGGAATAAACACATACAACAATAATTGTCATATGTAATCTCCATATCACAATTTTTCTTTCGTTTGCACAGATGAGCCTTTACGCTAAATGCAATACGCAACATTTTCGGTCCATACAATTTCTCTCCAGACAAGGTGGTGAGTTATTGTCGATGAAAAGATGTGGTGGCTAGCTCTAAATATCAATTAACTTCCAAGTGACCAGCATCCACGCATCCAGACGGAGAGACACGCAGAGTTGGTGATGAAAGGGCGACAGCGGCACCAAACAATGATACAGCGCAAGGACGATAAAAAAGAACCTTCTTTGTCTTGGCAAGCTGCTTCTTCTGCAACCGTACTACTGTAATACGTATGCTCACCAGCGCCAAATAATTGTAAATTGTACGCTCAAATAAAGCATCGGTCATCACGCATTTCCTCTAAATATGGGCATGATACATGATGAAAGAACAGTATGAAGGCATATAACTCCAAATAGCAATAAACTTCCAAGCGATCAACATCCGCCAATTCACTCCTGAGACTCAAACACCCCTTTCGTCTCCACTCACCCCGCGGCTGACGGGCGATCCGGCGTACGTCTCGTAGGGGCCGAGTTTCTCCGCCAGCTCGCAGGAGGCCTCCAGCGCGCCGTAGTAGATGGTCTCGAAGATCTGCTGGTTCAGCAGCTCGGCCTTCTCAGAGTCGAACGGGTAGCGCATCAGGATGAAGGCGTCCGCCAGGCCCTGCACGCCGATACCGATCGGACGGTGCCGCATGTTCGACTTGCGAGCCTGGAAAAAGAGCGGGAGTGAGTGATTTCATCCATTGTCATTGATAATAGGTGACATAAGCCAGGTACGCGCTCTAATTGAGCATCGAACATTGGTATGGATGTGAAAGAGAAAACACTAGTCTGAGCTCACCATAGATATATCATTTGATTTCCGTGTCTCGCAATGCTCGCAAAGCACGATAACGAAAGACCGTTGAGCAACATTGCTATGTAATTCTGGCAGATAATCCTCACAAAAATTGCATGCTTCTCCAGCCCTAGACACGTCAATTTTCGATACATCAATTCGAATCCTTACTCGATATCCAGTATCCACCATTTCTCAGACGACCCAAAGAGAGGAAGTTCCCGATTAGAATACTCACCTCTGGGACGGGGTAGTAGTTGACGTCGATGATCTTGTTGAGATTGCGCGTCACCACCTTAGTCACCTCCTTCAGCTTCTCGAAGTTGTACGTCTTGTCGTCCGTGACGAACCGGTTCAGCGCGATCGAGGCCAGGTTGCACACCGCCACCTACCGGGGGTAGCGTGAATTAGATTCAATCGCCGCCTGGTGGCACGAGTATGAACTAAAGAGCCAGCTGGCGGCAACGTGAGGTCGCGCTCAGTGCCCTCTGTGAGTCATCTATTGCCACGTAATCAGCGGAAATGCAGAATGGCACATCTGCTTGACAGCTGCACGTGGCCCAGACGAACTCTTTGTTAAAAACAACTGTCGTCGAAAGCTGGCCATGTGCGGCAGCTACACGCCAAAAAACGGCGCTGCTGCTGCTGATGGGTTTGCTACTTTATAGTCCGAAGATATGTAACCAAGAGCTATTTGGTTCACGTAACTCAGTCCTGCTAACCATCGATGCTTTGTGTAAATAAAAGCACAAGCACAGCCATGATTATGCCAGGAAAATCAGAGTAAGCATAGTGTTAGTGCATACCTCATCGGGCGCCGAGTACTCGACGATTTCTGTGCAGAGGTTGCTGCACTTGATGGTGCCCAGGTTCTGCTGGTTGGACTTGCTGTTGCAGGCGTCCTTGTAGAGCATGTACGGGGTTCCGGTCTCCACCTGGGACTGGATGATGGCCGCCCACAGGTCCTGGGCGCGCACCTGGCGCCGGTACCGCTGCTCCGACTCGTACCTGATAGAGGACGGGACGGAGCGTTTAGGCATGATGCTAATGTACATAACTAATGGGATGAATGCATGCTGCGTTGTAAATCTTCTAAGATGTGCACCAGATTTGTCATTAGAAAATCGAACCACCATTGCCAATAAAAACCTCTACAGGATGAACGTTATACAGGCAAGTTCAAACAGCGGTGTTATTTCCCACTTTTTTGTAATACTGATGACAAAGTGTAGCCATGGGCCAGTTCCCCATTCCGACGACAAACGAGTGCCCACTCACTTTGTGTAGAGTTTCTCGAACTCCTCTCCCCAGCAGTCGGAGAGGCCGGGACACTCGTGCGGACACATGAGGCTCCAGGTGCCGTCCGCCTCGACCCGCTTCATGAACAGGTCGGGGATCCAGAGGCCGTAGAACAGGTCGCGCGCCCGGTTCTCCTCCTTGCCGGTGTTCTTGCGCATGTCAAGGAAGTCGAACACGTCCGCGTGCCACGGCTCCAGGTAGATGGCGAACGCGCCCGGACGCTGCGGGAAAAATGTTCAACACTTGGTAAGTATGAGATAGCTAAAATGGTATTTAACAGTTACATGGGAAAACACGAAAAATGGCAAGAGAACAGAGACCTTGTCATGCAAACATGCCGATAAAAGTGAATTGAGTAGCCAAAGGCATAACAAACACAGGACAAAAAAAAAACTCCCTGATAACAAAGGACTGGAAACATTGAAAAATGTCATTCCTAGCGATTATTCGTCAATTTGGTCCAAGGACAAAAAATTCAGCCCTGTGTCGACGATTTTTCGTCAATGTACCGACCTTGTTGCCGCCCTGGTCGACGTAGCGTGCCGTGTTGTTGTAGACGCGCAGCATGGGCACCAGGCCGTTGCTGGTACCGTTCGTGCCGCTGATGTAGCTGCCCTTGGCGCGGATACAGTGCACGTTCAGACCGATACCGCCAGCGGACTTGGAGATGAGCGCGCACTGCTTCAGCGTGTCGTAGATGCCTTCGATCGAGTCGTCAGCCATGGTGAGCAGGAAGCAGCTGCAATAGAAACAAAGAAACGTTCTCGTCAGTCAGGTGTATGTAGAACCGGTGACGAATGTGTGAACTTCCGCTGTTGATTTTCTGTCACATAAACCACCCAGAATTATGACTCAACCAACAGACTGTCTTTCACACGACTCCGCGCCGTGCACCTCACCTGGAGAGCTGCGGCCGGCGGGTGGCCGCGTTGAACAGGGTCGGCGACGCGTGCGTGAACCACTTCTCCGACAGCAGGTTGTACGTCTCGATGGCGCCCTCGATGTCGTCGCCGTGGATGCCGACCGCCACTCGCATCAGCATGTGCTGCGGCCGTTCCACCACCTTGCCGTTGATCTTCAGCAAATAGGATCGCTCCAGGGTCTGTGAGGAGCAGGTGGCGTCAGACAATACAAGGCAGTCGATTAGACAGATCAAAAGGCCGAGTGTTGGGGACATAAACACACGTCCACAGCAGGGATATTATGCGCTCGATTCAAGAACTGATGTACAATATAATAAGTGGAACGCTGCATCCAATTACATACAAGTGCTAGTTCTAAAATGTTCTGAAGCAGTAAAGGTGACAATGTAATATTTCACCTTGAATCCGAAGTAGTTGTAGGTGTAGTCGCGGTCGTAAATGATGTGCGAATTGAGCATGTCCGCGTTGTCCATGATGATCTTATGGTGCTGATCGGAGATCATCGGGATATCGATGCCGCTGTTCGCGTTCCTCATGTGATACAGGTCATCGATCACCTCTGAAACACGATTCCAGCGTCAATTCTAGCTTTAGTGAACTGCAAAATAACTCAATGGACCAGCACAGGCAAATGACATAGACGTATATACGAATTACGATCCATAGTTGTCCCAGCAAACCAGGTTACATTTCAGGGTTAAGTACGGAGAGGTTTGATAGCTGAAAAAAGATGAACGTGGTTACCGATGTCAGCCTGCATCCACGTTCCTCCCGGGTTTATGAGCCTGCGAATGTCAATGTTAATCACAGGACCCGGGGTCCTGCCGGAAACCCCTGCCAGCCTCCGATCGTCACCTACCGCTGAACGTCTTCTTGGTCTCCTTGTGCAGGTTGGCGACGGCGATGCGCGCGGCCAGGATGGCGTAGTCGGGGTGTTTGGTGGTCATGGTGGCAGCCGTCTCCGCGGCCAGGTTGTCCAGCTCCACGGTGGTCACACCCGGGTACAGGCCGTTGATGACCTTCAGGGTAATGGCCGGCTGCAGATGGGAGAACAGGTCAGAAGAGGAAGTGATTGAGGAGATGTAAAATCTGCTGGCAAGATAATTATCATAAAAATGCAGGAAGAAAGGTTTTGTAACAAATCACAGCACTTATTTGCATTCCTAAACACATTTAAGATATAAAATATGAAATATTAATCAGGGTGATTCTTCAAAAGCAATCCTTACATTTAAAATCTGGCCAATGTGAAAACATGATTGAAAAAAATAGCCAAATAACATGACATATACCTAGGTAGCAATAAACTCTCAAAAACATCCAATGATAGATGTGTGATCATGCAAAAAAGTAAAAGAAGGTTCAAAACAAATTATACTCACTGGATCCACATAGTTCATGTTTAAGTTGTAGCAGAGCTTGTTGATACGATTTGTGATCTTGTCGAACATGACATTTTCCTTCCTTCCATCTAAACAGAGTGTGAATATGTTAAATGTTGACATTTGTGATAAACATCTTTCTTTGAAGCCACAGCTTGACTTAGCAACACTTTGACTTGCTTTCTTACCCAGCAAGGGAAATTAGCACAATGTGCTGAATTGAATGATCCATGACAAACAGCTAAAAAGCACAATAAAATGAAATAGAACCAGAATGTAGTGATGGAAGACAGAAATAACTTACCCCTCTTGATGACATACATCTTGGAATACATGATGTCCTTCATTTATGTTTAGTTGCTTGCCGAGTTGCAGTTGATAGTATCCACCTGAAAATGAAAAGGCGTGGTAAGAAAATACCTGCAATGCTGATGCCAGTGCTGTGCTGCACACAAATTTCAATTTACAAAGGCTTATCATTATAAAATTACAAAACTGAACATCTATCACCAGCTTTGGCTAATGACATTGTACTTACCTACCAAACTTACTTGACTTTCTGTGCCAGTGCTGGACCAGACCGATAATAGAAACCTCGAAGAAATAGCAACTAGAGAACGAAACAGATGATCCGTATTGAATATAAGGTATTGAAGCTGCAACGCGAAACAGGGCGGCCGCGGCCCAAGACAATGCACAAAGCGAAATTCGAGCGGGAACGGAGACCGATAAATTTCGCGCGAAATCGCGGTAGTGCTGAGTATGCTATGGCAAAATGATGAAAAAATGCATTTCAAGTGGTTATTCGTTGCTCTGATTAATGATTAAAAAAGTACCGTTTATGAATTTTAAATAAATGAATAAAAATTATCAATTCCCAACCAAATTACAACGCAGCACTAGAATACCCGTACGCCTCGCACGACACCCTGCTGGGGCTGCTGTCGCCGGCTCCCGTCTCTGCTGTCGCCGGTAACCGGCTTTACCTGCTGAGCCGGGCCGGTCGAGCAGCGCCGGCGCGGTGGGATGGATACCGCCGAGGGCTCTCCACCGCCCCTGGGCACCCAGGGCGACGATATGACAAACCAGTCAGTCGACCCATCGGACAGTTCGACTTCATTGGTCAGAGTTCTGTTCGCTAATCGCGCTGAGCCGGAGTGATTAACAATAATTGAATAGCATGAAACCAAAACAGCACATTACCAACAGCTATATTATCCCGGCACCGCCTGGGCTATTTCCATACCCACGACAGCCTGGGGGGGGGGGGGGGGGTCGGATCCGACCCCCCTGTTATCTCGAGAACCAATGGTCGCTTCGAGCCCCGCGAGGCGGCGTTCGAAAGGTCTCTACGAGACCTTCCCAAAGGACTCTTAAGATTTTAAGATTGAGGTCAACTTTCGGGTCAAGGTCAGGTCAAAGGTCAAATTATGGGGTTTTGCATGATTAGGCTTACGGACAGCGGAATCGATAGCTGCTGCTCGAAACTCACCAAAAATGACCTCAAAGGCCTAGTGAAGGTACCATGTGCGTATAGGGGTCATACTAAGTACGGGTCAAGGTCAGGTCAGGTCACGAAAGGTCACGGTTTTCAATTTCTGCTACATGGGCGTGCGACACATGTTTTATGGCTTATTTTTCACGCCGAATCCGATGGTAATGGTTATATGTGACCCCAAGTCACTGTGCTGGTGATAAGTGTGCATTGAAAGCATAAAAAATCGTTTATACCCTACATAACTAAAGGAGGGCTAAGAAAAAAAGTCAATTTTTCAACTTTTTATTTTTGACATAAAAATACACTTTTCTAGACGAGCTTTGTCCCAGGAATCTAGTGGTGCCATTTGTTTTCACATGCGATGTTCAGAAGTGCCTCTAATTCACGAAAATGCTTATGACGTCACCATGCCCTATGCATGTTGGCAGGGCGTATTTTAACATGTTAACTGGGTCGGCAATTGCCGACCCAGTCACGGAGAATGCCGACCCAGTGACAGCCGTTTGCCGACCCAGTTGCCGCCCCCTCTAGGATGCAGCACGCACATGCAGGCTAGGTGCCGTCATTCATAGTGAGGCTGCTGCCCTCCAAAATGATAATGCCGCCTCTTAAAGTGAACCAGCCGTCTATAGAAAGTGATCATCCCGCAACTCAATGTGACAGTGCCGCCCCTAAATCTGTTAGTAGCCCCACTCATTGTAATGGTGCCGCCCTTCTAAGCATCTGTGGAGCCCCTCAATGTGATGATACCGCCCCTCAAGAAGATGATGCCGCCCCTTTCAGTATCAGTGGCGCCCCTCAATGTGATGGTGCCGCCCTCAAAGTGCCGGTGGCGCCCCTGAATGTGATGGTGCTGCCCGCCAACGAGTCGGTGGCGCCCCTCAAAATGATGCTGCCGCCCCTAATAGTGTCAGTGACGCCCTTCGAAGTGTCGGAGGAACCCACCAATATGATGGTGCCGCCCCTCTAGATATCCACATAGCCCCTCATTGTTCATTGAAAAATCGCTTAAAACTTGGTCTGAACTTTGTTGTGGTGCCTACAGAGTAAAAAGAATCAGCTTTATGACAGTAATGTGGCCTGGGGAAGGAGGTAATTTTGGGTTGTGACGTCACATATTTGAAAGGTTGTTTTTGGAATATGGGAAGCCTAAGATGTTTAATGAAAAATAAATGCCAGAACCGTGTTCCTGGTCATCCAATCTATAAAGTCGGGCACAATTTAACTGGTATTAACAACATTTTAGAAGGTGGGATAGTCCCTTTAACCGGCGCCGGGCTGAGGTTGTTTGAACCCCCCTCCCGACCCCTATAACTTGGCTACTTGGGCCACGTAGCGACACGCGGTAAGCGGCATTCGAAGAAGTGTCAAAACTACTTGGGTTAGTTGGTTAACCGTACTTTGGTTAGGTCAAGTCAAATGTCAAATATCAGGTGACCAGAGGTCATCAAAGGTGAAATGTGGGTGAAATGTTGTCTGTTTCAACATTTATTGACAAACTGGCGCATAACTCGGGGAAGAATAGAACTACAGCACCGCGAAAAAGCGCATTCGATAGCTCTTCAACGTTCCTATAAAGTCCTCAGACTTGACCTAACATCAACGACTTAACCTCCAGAGCATAACTTGTTTAACCCGTGTCGGGCCGGGGAGGGTTAAAGGGGACAGTGGACCCCCTCCGCCTCTCTACTGAGCTGTTTTAATGAAGAACCTTTTTACTTTAATAATTATTGACTCACGAAAGTTATGACATCGTTTTTTTTTCAGTACTGCGCTCCTCTCGTCGAGATGCGTCGAATGAACTATAATTTGACATTCAAATGTCATTTGGGAAATTTGAGCTCAGGTCCAGGTCATGACCCGACTGGTAAAGGTCATGTTGCATATCAGTCGATTTGTATCGTCAAACTGAAATCATCTAAGGTGTTTTCATCGCTCAGGCATATCGCATGTCTCTATCAGAAGTTATTGAAAAAAAACCTGCTGGAGGCCTACCAATCCATGACCTGACATGACCTCAAGGACATAACGAGGGGTCGTGGGTGGCATTTTTCCGATTAAGTGTGTCATTTTTAATTGTTTTCTGATGTTTAAATTCGTTAACTTTGACATTTGTCTACCTATAAAAAGAGGCACATGCCCCGACTTTCTCCCATTTCCTTATACCTAATGGAAGGGTCGCAAAATTGTCCTTACCTTTGGTCAAAGACATCGCAATTTCGAGACTTACATTTTATGTACTTACAGTGACACACTGTATTATCAATCGCTGAAGTTATAAAGGGATCGTTCAGTCGGTATATCTATGGTGAGCATTTGCCTGTTCCGTAGCTCAGTTGGTAGAGCACCGGACTCCCCGCATTGTCTCCGCTTGCGTTTTGTCCGCCGGCCGAGCCGGAGAGAAAGTTACCGAGTGAATATAACGAGGCTTGAAATGATCTCACGCATGTCAAAGTGTTTTTATTTTAGGCAAAATAAATATCTAAAACAGTAAAACAAGCTTTCGGCATTACGCCATCATCAAGTTTGAATAAATTAACATGTTTTTGATTTTCAAAAGCTAGAGCGCAATCATATTGTTCCAGGCATCCTCATAGCAGCTCACTTTTTTTAAACATATTGCAATACGTTGCAAATAGTGTGGTACATTGCACAATGCACATGGCAAGTAAATAATGTACAACAATGTATCATTACGTACACTACAACATGTCATGCACACAATATATCATAGGTACAACAATGTTAATAAATCTCACCTCAACATCAGCCGCATACATCATCAACACCCGGTCAGTAAACATTGACATTATAATCATATTGAAAAACATTGCCGCTGCTCTTAGCTCGATTAGTTTGAGGTGAGATTTATTGACATTGTTGTACCTATGATATATTGTGTGCATGTCATGTTGTAGTGTACGTAATGATACATTGTTGTACATTATTTACTTGTCATGTGCATTGTGCAATGTACCACACTATTTGCAGCGTATTGCAATACGTTTAAAAAAAGTGAGCTGCTATGAGGATGCCTGGAACAATATGATTGCGCTCTAGCTTTTGAAAATCAAAAACATGTTAATTTATTCAAACTTGATGATGGCGTAATGCCGAAAGCTTGTTTTACTGTTTTAGATATTTATTTTGCCTAAAATAAAAACACTTTGACATGCGTGAGATCATTTCAAGCCTCGTTATATTAATAATAATCATGTCATCCATCCTCGCCCACATAAAAAATTACCGAGTGAAGGTCATTCAAATTTCAAAAACTCAATGACAATGTCACTGGGGTCACCAAAATGTTTGAGTAGGTAGGTATAACATTCATTAACTGGGGGGGGGGAGGGATGAACTTATCTGTGCAATACGCTGTTCATTACGCGAGTAACACTAATAAATAAAAAATGTATGAGTTCATTCTTACTCCACCCGCTCTCCCTCTCCATAAAAAGAGAGTTTAAATGTGTTGAATTTTATTTATAATTATACCTATGCAGAAAAATAGAGACGTCTAAGGATATGGCCGAATATCAGCGACTTGCTGTGTAAGCAATGAGGTATGACAAGTGGGGGTAATGGCCCCGTCCAGCGCCCATAAAGTGGGCACCACTCGTGCGACCTGCCGACCACTGTTCTAGATAGAGCCATAAAACGCGTGAATGTTTTAAGCTTGACGATACGGATCGACTGGTATGCAACATGTTCTATTTCTGGTGAGGTCATGAACTTGACCTCAGGTAAAATTTTAATTTTTTTTTTGTAAAATCAAATTACAGGGTTGGGCAGATAAATTGGGACAAATTTCAACTTCCTCTAAAACAACTATTTTTTGAGTGATAAAGATAATTTTTGAACATAAATATAGGCTAATGAATACTTTTCCATGTTATGGAGGTTGCGTTGTGATTTTGAGCCGGCTGGTCACAGAACGTGGGCTTAAGCAAGCCACTATCAACTTAGTCCGCGCGCACATGCATGCCAATACTCTAATTATGCTCCATCAAATGGCTGAAAGTAGTGTGTATCGAACAGACGTAAACGTTGGAGGAAGAGATGATATTGACTCATCCTTACATACCAATTGCATTGACACCGGCCGCTCCCCCGGCTTTCCAGGGGTGCCAAAAGGCAAAATTCAGTTAAATCAGAGGATCCTCGCGAAAACAGTGGCGCGAGCTTACAAAGAAGGTAGCCGCGCCATGAGAAAGCCATATACCAGCACCTCAAACATGTACTCTTATGCATTGATGCATATCAACCTGTTAACATAGATGTTGAAGCAGCTGTGACGTTAAAAAGATTGCTTCCTCTTGAAGGGCTTGGAGAAGCGAGCAAGCACGTGCAGGTCTTTTTCGACGATGGTATCCCCATAACCGAACATATGAACAACCGCAAACACCATGAAACATCGTAACCAGCCCAGAAGACGTGATCTTAGTTCCAAAAAGCATGCAGCA